GCTTAGACCAAAAAAATGAATTTGTAATTCTAAATGGAGCCACTTCACCCATTCCTGAAGTGCAACCAGGCTGACCAAAGTAATGCATCTGTTTCTGGTACAACATTAAAAACAAGACATTAGATTAATCCATTATTCAGATTTGTAACTTACAGTAGTTACCTGCTTAAGAGTTAAATCATAATAGAAAATGTTGAAGAGTTGCAGCATGAAGCTGGCGCTCCCAAACCCTTCAAAGAGAGACATGGGTTACACAAGACCTTTAAAAATAGTTTGATCTTAATTTATAGGTATGTAGAAGTGGTTTATATATATCAAGCCATGGTTTTTATATGGCAGTGTTCATATATGAAGTCAAAGTCAAACCACATGCTTCTCTGTTTTGGACTCAAAACAGATCAAATACACTTGCCACATGTTTTGAGTCTGGACATGTCTTTACATTGATAAGACAGTATGAACCAGCCTTATTTAAATTCTGTTTGAAAAATGGCATTTCTGACATTCTTGATAAATGGTAGCATAAAATTAAAACCTACAAATATGTACTTTTTAGGGCTCATCCAAAGCATGTTGATCATGACTGTCTTCCACTCACAAGTACAAACTTATTTTTAACGAATTCTGGTTTTCTAGATGCATTGAGATGCATGCATTTACAGATGCATGCATTTACAGTACTATATTTAAACTTTGTTGACTCTTCAGAACAATTTCTACAATAGCAAACTTTCAGGTTTTGCCCCAGAAACAAAACCCACATATATTCACAGCCTCAGCAACCAAGATTTTTCAGGGGCTAATCATGTAGGTCTTTGTTTCTTTGTATAAAAGTATTTCTCTGCATGAAGTATATCCAAACCATAAACATCATACGTCATCTGCCTACACTTTTGATTTCTAAATTATGCAATCCCCAAATGGCAAATACTTAAATATACATGGGATTTGTTAATCTTAATTATGGAGCCTATCTTTTCCTTGCTGATTTTTTTTTTTACCAGAGACTTTATTGACCAAATTCCAACCCCCCAGGCTGAGATGCGCAAGAAGCCAGGATGGAATTTAATTTCCATGGCCAAATATCGTAATGCATTTTGGTTGACTCTCACGTTGAGAGAGCAGAGAACAGAATGCTGGTTGTGGCTGTCCATAAATCACTAAGGACACCCGTTGCAGGTTTGTGGCTATTCCATTTTGCAATATCTCCATAATTAATACCAATCCCATTTTTATCATCCACTGCACCTACAAGAAATGCTAGTTGCGCTATTAATAGCTGCGTTGGCAGAGAAAGGAAGTGGGAGGAAGAAATGCACACAAACTCCTGCTTCTTAGAAATGTATTTATTTTTTTATTTTAAAATGTCATAACAATCCAAAGCAATGCTTATTGTACAGTATAAAATAATCATAACATGTGCCTTTATGTATTTATTGGGAAAAAATTGTTTTGCAAAACAAGTGAACCAAAAAAATTCATTTAGAGCATTTACAGATTTGCAGCATGGGTAGTACGGTAAAATGTCTGTTGAATAATTACATAAATACTTTTAACAAATCTGTTTAATCTATTGCTTATTTTTCCATAATACCAGCGTTATTCCCTTAACTTCCTTTCAAAGCCACCATTTTGAAAATCCTTACTGATTTTACCCCATTCTTTTCCTACAAAACCCTCTGGTTTGATCTCTCTACATCACCGTGGAAGGAATTTCTGGAGTAAAAGTCAAATGTGAAAAGCACCTAAAACTATCAACAGTTGTCATATGATGTGTGATCCTTGACTTTTCCATAATACTGATTAGATCAACCTAAAGCGATTAAATTAATACAACACCAAGAAATAGATCACATTTGCTAGTGGCAAATGGTCATTTTAGCTGCAGTTTTCCCTAGTGGGCTTAAAAGTGCACCAGTAAATCCGTTTCTGTACAAACATTTCCAACAATATACAGACACTAAGATTTTAAATATTTTGTATCAAATACTTTAGGACAAACATAAATTACAGGATTTTTCACATAAAAACTTACATCTAAAATATACCTTGATCTTACAGAATATAAAAATATCCATTTTCGCCTTTTTGGAAACACAGGTATTTGCAAGTTCTGGCATGACAAAACAATGCTGAGAATTGATTAACAGATTGTGCCTTTCAGCTTGAAAGGCTTAGTGCAGCTTTCTATGGCAAAACAACTTCCACAGAGTGAAGAGCCAAGCTTAATGAACAATTTAAGAAATCATGCCAATCTGAAATCATTTGTCAACTAATGACTAAAAAGGTTGTCATTATGAAGGTTCAGTGTCACTACACTGGAAGAGGTTTTCCAGAAGCATGAATGCAGAAAAATCCAACGATTCTCAAGATCTAGAAAATGTTTTGAAAGCAGAAAGTCCTAGATTCAATCTCTGATCTTAGTGGGAGGCATGTATGAGAACAGTATTTTTTGCAATAGAAGTGAATATCTGTAGCTCAGGGTTGAACTGTGGAGTCCTTGGTGCTCCCTGAGCTTCGTTGTTTGCTTGCAGACATTTCATGACCCAACTAGGTAACATCATCAGTGCTAGTGAGCACCAGCACTGGCAGGG